AACCTAGGGCCTTGTTTGTGCTAGGCAAGTGCTCAAACACTGAACTATACCTCCAGCCCAATCTCCTCTTTTTAAAAGAAAATAAAATGTACTTATTGTTTTAATAAGTTATAAATTGAGTGTTAGCTTTATAAAATAGTGAGCTTGAAATGTATAATGGAGAAAAATTAAGAACAAATTCTTAATACATGTTTTTATTATCACATTTTGTTATTATGTGTGTATTTATTTGTATATCCTAAGAATTCAAAGTAGAACTTGTAGAAGAACAATTCTATAACTATTGTATCAATATACAAATTAACTGTGATTAATATAATTAAAAGGCATAGACACTATAAAATAAAAATAAACACTTTTCTTTGTCACTGATATGAATAGATCAATTATTACTTAATAAAACTTTACTTTCCCTAGTTTTAGCAATACCTTCCAATCAAAGATTTCATAGCACTTTATAAACATGACAACAATTTGTGATATCTTCAACTATAAAATGATAGGATTAGATGATTTCTAATATTCCTCAAATTTCAATGACTTTAGTAATTTAACAAATCCTTAAAATAGGTGTGAAGCAATTAAAAGTAAATTTAATATTGAGGTTATTGCTCTCTCTACATGACTTTAGCCACAACATCTCAGCATAGAAATCTATATAAAATCAATTATGTCCACTGAAAAATTATGTGTATGAAAATATTTTACAAACTGTATATATTATCAAATGCTAATTACTACTATTTTTACAAATCACTAGTTTGGTTACTGCAATTTACACCCTTTGTTCTCCTAGGAATTTGGTATTGTGACTAAAATACCTCAAAGGCATACACATTTAATGAATCTATTTAACTAAAATTTTGTCCTTATCCAATAAAAATACCAAAACCTGGTGGATCATTATGAAACAGGAAAAAAATTCCCCACCTAAATATTTTATATGTACTACATAGTAAAATATATTGTTAATTGAACAAAATGCAAAAAGCAAAATAATCAGATATATGCATTTTCATAAGCAATATTCTTTCAACATTTGAAGTTGAATATTTACCCTTGAAGTTGATGATCTTTTGGGTTTCAACTCTGGTATAATGGGCACAGGCATCTGCATTTAAAAAAAATTAAGTCATGTAAAAAGAGGGAAAAATGAAGAAATTATACTGAAGAAAGGACCTTAAAAATCAAATCCTGCCTCTGAATTAAAATAAATGTGTATGATATAAATTGAGTATTAGGGGAAAAAGTGTAGTTCCTAAGTGTGAAAATTTTTTCTTAAAACTTCAAAACTCATCTTACATCAAATATAATGTTATTCAGAATTCCCTAAATTTTAAAATTAGTTTTCACAATACATGGGCTGCTTTTTCAAAGGACTACTTACAGCAGACAATCTGGCTGATCTTCTCTTTGGCTATAAGTGAAAAAAAATATCAGTTAAGAGAATTATTATTACACAAAACTAGAATTATTTTTATTGTAGTGACAGTATTTGATGAAACACTACATAAATATTGTCATTAAAGAGGCAATTGTGAAATTGGTTAGAATATAAATGTAGAAATTTAAGGTTTCATTTTTCCCTTTCTCTAGACCCTCCATAGGCTAAGGGGAAAAATCCCAAATTAAGCTTCACTTCCTAAGATAAAGGACCATGATGACTAGTAACAAGGGTCATATTTAAAAATGAAAATGTAGTCCCTTCTTTCTAACTGACAAAGCATTTCTTATTTCTTAAGATATTCTTTTCCAATCTTAACAGGCACACAGTCCTAGATTTGAAGAAGCTTGGGGTTCTTATTATTGTATTTATGAAAGAGCTCACTGGCATATCATATTGATACTCATATGGTACAAATATACCAACCAGCATGTATGTTTAGATCCTTATTCTACCTCAAGTCTATAGAATAAGTGTATTTTTTTCAGGCAGATTCTAAAATTAAAGACACTCACCTCTTGCTTCACATCACTTTGACCTGCAGCCTATACAGAGAACAATATTACACAGAAATAAGGTTATCAATGTAAGCATATAAATAAAAAATACTACCTATGGATTATAGTTGCAATATACCACTTATGATGTTTTCCTGGGTTCCCTCTCAAGTAGCCATGTGATGTTTCCTAGGAACTATATTCTACATACTGCTGTCTACCAAAGTGCAAGCATGCACAGATTCTTGAGCATACTGAAGACATACGTTTACACAACTGATAGTCAATGCCATCTTCTTGTGTAAACAGTATCTAAAAAACAAACCATTTTCTTTTTGAAATTAACCTGCAGTACAGTCTTAAAGCCAAAATAAGGGTGGGGGAGGGAAAAAACGAAGGTGTCGTTTCATGCAACATCCCAATCTGTTTTGTATGTGCTGTGCAAATATATATACCTATCGGACCCTCTCTACTGATTCTGGACTTATTCTCTTCAAGTTTTGCGTACAAGAACTACAACCCCCACAATGCTTTAGAGAGCAAACCTCTTTGTTAACAACGTTAATGCTTTACTCTGGAAATCCAGCCACGGATTTAAAAACTTCCCGCCACTACCTGCTCCAAGGTTGCTGTCAGCTCTCTGAAATAGCAAGACTCATTTCACAAGCCTAGAAAAGCATAGCGGCAGAACGGCGGGAATATGAGGAAGGGGGATGGTGATTAGAAACGATTGCTTTCCATATCTGAATATCGCTTCAGCCTAGGAGTTATCAAGCTATTGCATGATTCATGCAGCCCTAGAGCACTGGATAATTTCAGCCTTATTCTTAGGCTCTAGGAGCAGGGAAGGTGGGTAGATTAATAGGACTAATATAAAAACAATCATAATGTCTTATATTAGGACTGTGTTTTATGGCTTTATCAAACAACGAAATAGCATTCCATTTCCCTTAGAAGATACTGATGAAAAATAAACAAGGAAAAAATAAAACCAAGCGTGTACTTATTTCCCTTCTGAAAGGAGCCAGGAATTTTGAAGTGAGCTTTGGCAGAAGATCTGAACAATTCAGATCAACTCTGTATGTCTAAAGTGAACAAATCCTACTCTTCCCCAACATAGGCAATAGTTTATCGGCCACGGCTCTCTTATCACCTTTTCACCTTTAGCTAGAGATCTTGCAGTGTGCCAGATCTCCCAGCCCCGAAGTTTCTAATTACATCTGTGAATCTCTCCCTTTGCTAGGATAGTTTGAAGTCTGCGCCGCCTAATGGCACAGAGTTACCATTGCACAGCCATCTGGCATGACAAGAAGTGGAGGAGGGAAGAGAAAAAAAAGGGGGGGAAAAGAAAACGGAAAGAACAAAGGCAAATATAGGAGAAAGCTGTAGTTTTCCTTTCCCCAAAGGTGATCGCGCCCCAAGAAAACCCGGAGGCAGAGTAGGAAACTGTTCCCTGGAAGTGTGGTTGGGAGAAGTGTTCTCCAATAGGGTAAGCGAAGGGAGGGGGGTGGGGTAGGAAGCGACAGCACAGCGCTATGGCTGTTTGTAATTCAGCATGGAGACACCTCTCTAGCGATTCTTCTCCTTAAACAAAACACGCCAAAAGTGAACTACCAGTTGCATGCGAGATCATCTTAAACCTTACACCGACAGCTCTTTGCCCTTCCCTCCCTGTCCTTTCAGTACATCATAAAATCAAACTAGAAGCTGAAATGCTTTTTAAAAATTATCTGCCTTAGGAAATTTGTATTACACCAGTTAATCTCCCCTTCGGTCTTCCCATTTCACTTACCTTTCTTTTGGGCATTGTTGCAGCTCTCTATAGAAGATCTTAATAGCAGAAAAGAAGCCTAGACTAGAGCACTCTCTGTCTGACCGCTGGGACAGCAACTGAGTTTTCAATGAACTAATTGCCGCACGACCTGTACTCGCCTCAAAAAAAAAAAAAAAAAAAAGAAAGAAAAAAAAAGAAAAAAAAAAAGCTCTCGTTATTGGCAACCTTAAACACACCAAGACGCAACCAAACTACGTGAATGGTTAGAAGAAATGTGAGCCAGGTTGGAGTGACAGGCTGTCAAGCCAATAAGAGGAGGTGGCCAGTGGGAGGCGTGGCCCGCGGACTTTCCCGAAGCCCTTCTACGCTGCTGGCTGACTGCGGGTGGGGTGGAGGAGCACGCGGACTTCGTAGGCGCGTAGCGCTCGGACATGACCTGAAGGAAAACCAGAGTTGTCTTCATTTCTTTTCTTTTATGCTGTAATGACAAGCAAATGCCCCAACTGTTGCTTTCTCTAGTTTCCAAAACCCCCGCCATTCCCATTTCACAGGAGAAAAATTGCTCTTGAGACCTGGTTGAGTTTGAGGCACAGTTTTCCTTACACATTGGCAAGAAGGTGGAGATGAAGTGACAGCACTCATTCAGAGAGTGAAAAAGTGTGGGAATCTTTATTTAACTGCGGGAACTTCCCACCAAAGAAGCATAAGGGTCCTGGCATGAGGTGGGTGGGTGTCCAAATGGCATGCCTCCCACAGGCGGAGAGTATAAACAAAACTGGGAACTGGAAGAGAGAAAGGCTTCTGGGGGCGGGGATACCCGTTAAAATACCGTTATCCCATTTGGAGGGAATCCACTAAGAATTCAATGTAACACTGAAGGAAATTTATAATAGCATAATATAGCAGAGGAAAAACACTGGTGGAATGGATTTTTAATCCTAAAGTAGATTTAGTGAAGGTACTCAGGAAGGTGCCTTGAACATTTAGGACTCACAGTTTGGATTACCATAAGGCCATGGAGGCACTCACCACGGCCACAAAATTTAAGGTTGTGGCAAAAACTCAGGAGATTAGGTTGAGGTGAGTTATGCAGGTGCAGGATAAGATTCTATCTTTATTTAAATTTTTGATATTTTTTCATCAGATTTTTTGCATTAAAATATTTGTCAGGACTATGGTTGTAGCTCAGTGGTAGAATGCTTGCCTAGCATGTGTGAGGCAGTGGGTTCAGTCCTCAGCACCACATAAATAAATAAATAAATAAATAAATAAATAAATAAATAAATAAACAAACAAACAGGTATTGTTTCATCTACAACTAAAAAATTTTAAAGAAAAAGAAAATTACCAACATGTTATTTTTTAAAATATCATTTGTTTTCAATATTGAATTCTGGGGTAACCCCTTAAAGTTTTTGCCCAAGGAGAGTTCTCCCTAGCTTTACTCAAGTCCCAATCTAGTTTAGGGAACGTTTTTTGTAAGAGATACTTCTAGCTTCCTTCCAGTATCAGTTCCTGAGACCTAAAGGTTTTTGGTCTCTGTGTGGAGATTACATAAAGTACTTGGTACCAGTAATGGTTAAAAGGGGTGGGAGACTCAGATCCTTGCAGCCCTTTTTCAGTTTGCCTTGCTTTGGTTGTTGTTAAGAGATAATTATGTTAGAAAGTGCCCCAACAATACTCCACATTCCTAATCTGGAAGTTTAATAGAAAGGAAAAGTTAATCTTTTAAACAGTTACTTTAAGGAAGAATTACATTTGTGTTCGTGTGGATTAAAAATTGTAATTATCATTTTAAAAGATGAATACCATATCTGCTACAGAATGCCCAAAACCCATCCCTTCAAAATAAAATGAAGCCTCAAGAGAAGACCACATCATTTTGGGGTTTGCCCCTTCTTTTCCAACAGCTACAGTGTAGCATTAAACAAATAAGTTAAAATAAGACTGATCTCAGCTCAGTTTCCTTCCCACAACACATATTGTATTCTTGTTTAAGTAAATAAATCAGAAAGACATTTAATTGCTTCCTTTGCTCCAGTTATTGGGACCATTCCTTCATGGTCTGATACTTCTTTTTAAATTCTTATTTTTTAATTTGCTTTTTAAAATTTTTGTGGTGCTGGGAATCAAAGTCAGCATCTTGAGCATGCTAAGTACTTTACCACTGAGCCACATTCCCAACCCTCTGATGCCTCTTTTTACCCTTATGGTGAAAGTATTTTGGGGTGAACACAGATATGTTTCAATCATTTTACTGTCCCAGAGTTAGAAGGTAAGAATAAAAAATGGACTCAATATAATGATTGCTCCATAAGAATAAGGAGAAAAATGAAGGGAATAAAAATGTGTCAGTGGAATACATTCATTCAACAAAATTTTATTTAGCATTATTTTGTGAGTCGGGTTTTGCTTTTGTAGACTAGCTTATGAAAATGCAAAATCATGTGGTATGCAAAAATTGTATTATGCAGTTTCTGCCCTTGAGGAATTTTATAATTCTGTAGGATTCAGTAAACAAACACATACATATTTACAACTTTAGGTTATTTGTATCATTTGAGTGGTGCAATCTGAACTCAATAATAGAACAGGAGGGAAGGATCTTCTAGAACTGAGATAATTAGAGAGGGCTTTTGATGAGGAGGTGGTATTTCACTTCGCTCTGAACTATTGGGTAGACTGTTATAATATAGCAAATACAGAGGCAGGGAAAGTTTGTACTTGCTCAAAGAACAGAATGCCTAGTCCCAGTAGATTGAAACAAATGATCATGATGAGCTTTGGGAGGTAAATCTTGGAAGTTGGATGGAAGGCAAAACATGCAGAACAGTGAGCTCTAAAATTCCTCTTAAGTTTGTCAAAACTTTTCTTTTTTGTCACTTTTCCTCCTTTCAGTCTAATCTGTTGCAATTGTGATTTATGTCTTCTAAAATTGCAAACATAGTCATGTATGCATAAGAAAAATTTGAAGTGTGAAGCATTTGTCTGTTTCTTGACTCCCATTTCCCATTCACCCTGTTCTTTTTAAGCAGTTTTTAGGGTGGTCCTTTGTACCAGCCAATTTGATTTAAGCTCTTTGCCTTTGCTTTATTGTCACTGCAATTCTATTTTCTTATATCTTCACTTATCAGATGTCTATCCCAGTGTTCATACCCAATCCAAATATCACCTCTTTGACAAAAGCCTTCATTTCATCCCTATAAGATCTTTTCCTCCTGTTACAGTGTAGAATTTAGATTGTACCACTTATATGACAAAAGCAAGCTTGATTTTTTAAAAAAATATATTTCCTCAAACATTTGGTGCTACTTCTTCACATCAGTTCAAACTTCTCTATACTACTTTTTCTTGCCTAAATATTTTTAAGCATATGATACTACATATCTCCTGTAGAATTTACTATCTATACAAATTATTTTTTTCTAAAATTGATAAATTATTTCAAAGTAAGAGTTTCATTTTTGTATAATTGCCAAATAGATACTTTTCACTAGATCATTTTTTTCTAAAATTACATTGGTTCGTTTCTCTTTTACTTATTAATAACTATGAATGTTGATTGCCTGACAGTTCTCCACAGGATTTGCTGATTTCCCCTGGCTGTTAAGCTTATACACTGCAACTCTCAAAATCTACAGGATCTGTAGCATATCCATTCAGTAACTGGTAGGAAATGACACATGAAGATGTAAAAAAAATTATAGATTAAATGTATCCACATTATAATGTTTGATATAAAGGACACAAATTATTAAGGTTATGTGCTTATGAGAAAAAAAGATACTAGACATCTATAATGAGCCAAATACATCAATGTGCTTATTTCTGAACCTCACATATGATTGATATGAGGAAGTTACTTAGATTGATAATGGCACTTAGCTGAAACTGACTCTTGAAAAACTTTAATCTGGAGAACCCAAAGTTTCAAATATCATATGTTTATTCACAGCAGGCCTGAGAGTAATAAAATATTGAATTATGAGTGACCCCTGATAAGGTATGTTTAAAAAATGAGACTGCTTTCTAGAGGTAAAAGGTACACAATAAATTTTATGTTTCAAATTGCAAAATTTCTACCTACGTTTAAAGTAGTAATTTAAAAGAATGCTGTGTTTAGAATCTCAAACATTAAAATTTAGAGGAGATACTGGATAATGCCTAGTTCAATAACCTCAGAATACAGATGAATAAACTCAACACCACAGAGTTTAAATAATTTTTCCAGGATCATGTATTGAAAGTGGAGCAGTTTTTTCATTTTATATTAAAATTTTCAGCTATGGTTAAGATCTTAACAATTAAATAACTTAAAGAAAAATTTAATAACTGTATGGCATATTTGGTAAACATTTTTTTTTCAATTTTAGTGATTGAAACTCCAGAGCAAACTTTGACCATCAACCCACTTCATATATATCTTCCTTTCATCTAAGATCTTAAACTAGAATCCTCTGGTAATATTAACTATCTCAAGAAATAGAAAATTTATAGAAGAGAAGCTTCATGTTCAAAATTTTCATTTGGTCTAAGGCAAGTGAATGAGGGTTTTTAAGCTTGACATTGTCAAATACTTGCCTATCTTTTTCTGTGTTTGCCAACAGAGAGGTATTCAAATAAAAGTGCAGTTGAGCTTTCTCATTAGCCATAAGTTATTTAAAGATCTCTGAATTTCAGTAGGTGTCCTCATTTACTTGAAAAGCATTTCAAACTCTTTCACTTTAGCTATGAGGACTTCTGCGTCCCTTAAGTTTTTTCATTTATTTTAAATGCATAATTATTCTTTCAAACTAAAAAATAGTCATATGTTTAAGGCATACATGATATTTGTATATGTACACACACAGTGACATGATTACTATAGTCAAGCAAATTAGCACTCCATCAATAAAATAGTTACCTTTTTGTTGGATGCACATCTATTTTCTTAGCAAATATCCAGTACATTTACTAAATTCTGCCTATTAAATTTAATTTGTAATTTTGGTACAGTCCATGCCTATGTTTCTGCATGAAATACTAAACTTTTTAAATCTATATATTTTTATGTTTTACTTTAAGCCTTATCTCACAAAAGCACAGATATTAATCCCTGGCTTATAAAATAGTAAGATGTAGATTGGAACACTTTTATAAGTCATGTGA